GCATGTATTTAATACATACAATTTGAGGGCTGGGGTTGTAACTCAGTGGTAGAGCACTTGCCTACATGTGTGAGGCACTGGGTTCAATTCTCAGCACCATGTATAAATAAATAAATAAAATATAGGTCCATTAACAACTAGAAAAAAAATAAAACATACAATTTGATAAGTTCTATCTATAAACACATGAAACCATCACCACAGTCAATTATAGTGAATATATCCATCAACCCTAGAAGTTCATGTGCTCTATAATCTCTCCTCCTGAGGTTGTGTGCCCCACACCATCCCCAAGAAATCATTATGTTGAGAGAAAGCAGCCAGCCAAAGAGTGGTCTGCTTTCTATCGCCATAGATTAGTTTGTATTTTGTGGAGTTCCTATGAATAGAGTCTGATAGGATGTACTATTTTTGTCCTGCATTTCACTCAGCATAATGATTTTGAGATTCCTTCATTTCATTGTGTATACAATTTATTCCTTTTATTGTTGAGTAGTATTTAGTTGTACTAGTTTGTTTATCCATTCATCTACCAATGGACATTTGGATTGTGTTCTACTTTGAGCTATTCTATGTGAAGCTGTTATGAACAGTTCTGTAGAATAATTCAGTGGCATATATTTCCATTTCTCTTAGGTAAATTCCTAGTACTAGAAATGTCTGAGTTACATGGTTAAATATATATATTTAACTTGGGAATTATTTATATGGGCTCTTCTGTGCTGCTCAGTAAATTATTGCAAACTTAATAGCTTTTAACAATATATATTTATCTCACATTTGTCAGTCAGAATCTAGAACAGCTCAGCTAGTCCTTTGCATAGGGTTCATAAGGCTGTGATCAATCTATTGACCAGAGCTGGGTTCTCATGTATAGGCTCAACTAGGAAAATATCCACTTCTTTTGTGTGTTCTCAGAGCATACAGGTCTGTAGCTATGGTATTCATGGCAGCTTTTTTTTTTCACCCCCAAAACTAGCAAGGCCAGCCTTTTTTCCCCAAAACTAGCAAGGCCAACATTTCTAATAAGAATTTAAGAAAATAATTCATGTGCAATAGCATCAAAAAGAATAAGATATTTATAAATAAACTTAACCAAGGAAATGCAAGAGTTTTATACTGAAAACTATAAAACACTATAGAAAAAAAATTAGAGGAGACCTAAAGACTTGGAAATACATCTTGAATTCATGGACTGGAAGAGGTAACATTATTAGATGATAGTACTCCCCATATACATCTTACAGGTTTAGTGCAATACTTGTCAAGTATCCAACTATCTGGTCTGGGCATGTAGCACAGTTGTGGAACATTGCCTAGCATGTGAAAGGCTCTGGGCTTAATCGCCAGCACCATAGGAAATGAAGGGAAGCTGAGGCAGCCTCAGCAACTTATTGAGGCCCTATCTCAAAATAAAAAAAATAAAAAGGGTTCTGGGATGCAGCTCAGTAGTAGGGTGTCCCTAAGTTCAATCCCTAGTACCACAAAAAAAAAAAAGAAAGAAAAAGGAAAAAGAAATTTAAAACTTTCCATATCAAAACATATTATGAAGGAAGCCAAAAACAACCCTTTTGCAGTGTGCCACAAGCATCGCCACCATGAACAACCACTTAAAACTGAACTCTTGGTTTGAAGGTTGTTTTTTTTTTTTTAAAACTATACAGGTGGTATGAAATTGGTCTACAGAGATGAGTGAAGCCTTGCTTGAGATTAGGAATTATCAGGGAAGATTTTTTTCATACTGTTGCTATGGGTCAGAAGATATCTATGGATAACCGAAGTCTATTTCTTTGTTCAGATGATGAGAGTAATGTTGCAGTCACCAGACCAGATTCAGAAAGTCCCTATGTGCTGAGTGAACCACATACTTTGGTGTTACCTCCAGTGCCACAGTCCAAGGTGCTGTCTGTCACCTCAAATCTGGTAAGCCCCACAAGGGATGTGTCAGGGAGCCTTGGACTGTTCTCTTTAGAGAAATTTACCCAGAATTGTTTAATTGTATTATTTATGAGTCATATTTTTCAGTACAATTGTGTTTATCATAAAAACCCAGTGACTCTTTGCATTGATCAGCTTCAGTTTAAAAAATTAGTAGCAAATTAGAATTGATAAGTAATTCTTTTTTTTTTTTGAAGAGACATCCATAAGGTATACAATCTAGAATCAACCATGTGGTCAGCTTTCGTCTAGGTTGATTGGGCATCCTTAACCTGCTGTCACTTAGGAATGCACAAGAAAGAAAAGGGCCTTGTCCTCTTGGGAGTACACTTTGGGCCTCAGGGCTACTGACCACAATGTAAAAGTCACAGGGAAAATGTATAAATGACCTAATTGGAAATATTTATGTTTGGCAAAGTTATGAAATCAAGCAGATACCTTCACCAACTGATGAAGAGTAATGTCTTCTTTTGACATGTAGATGAGTCTCTGTCAAGCAAGTGGTCATCAGCCAAATGCAAATGGTCTCTTGATTCATGGGATGCCTCTACAGCCAAGAAATCTCTACCTAATTGACAAGCTCCTGTAAGAAGTATAACATTTTTATAGAATTTAAGTAGATCACTGAGAAATAAAGGGAAAGCAAAGTCAGTCAATCAACATGCCTTTTTGAGTACCAATCACAGCGACACCTGGGGAGGAACACATCCAAAGCAAAAGGTCTCCACTTGCAGGGAGCTGATAAGTAAAAAGTGAAGACACACATGGGTAGAGAGACCTGACCATATAGGGCATTTTGTGATTGAGTGCTACCCAGAATGCATGCTATGACAGGCCAAAAGGAGAAGGCATTTTGGTGGGTAAGTTTAAGTGGCGGTTTGGATAAGCTGAGAAAAGGAACAAGGCCATTCTAGGCAGAAAGAATAGTGTGGGAAACTTTTGGAGATGGGAAAATGCAAGATATTTAGGAGAGATAAAAGACCAGTTTTGCTATAGGATAGGGAGAGGAGTCAGAATTTTAACACTTCTGATCAAAGATTACTGACAATCTTCTAGATTTAAAATAGGCCATGGTATGATCAGTGGGCAAGGCTATGAAACTAATGAACCAATTATGGATGTTTTCAAATACCTTGTTTTTGAGATTCATCCATGTTGCACATGACCTCTATTTCCAAATAGTATTCCATTGTAAAAATGTGTCACGAGTACACTCCTGTTACCACTTCATTTGTTTCCAGATTGGGGCTATTATACATAAAGGCATTATAAGTATTCTTGCATAGGTCTTTTTTAATGGACTTACGGTCATATTTCTCTTGGGTCAATACCTATAAGTGGAAGGGTGATGATAGATGTATGTTAATTGTCATGCTATTTCCCAAAGTAGTTGCAGCATTTTACATTCCTGCCAGTTGTTAGTTTCAGCTAGGGAGCACATATATTTAAATCATGGTATTTAAATCAGGAATTTGAAGACAGATTTTATAGCAGTGGAAAACAGATTGGATTGCAGCAGGAAGAAATGAATGGAGTCTATAGTAGGGTGCCAGCATAAACTGTAAGATCCTGTCCTCCTGCTTGAGTGCAGACCAAGAAAGGAATGAACTATTCTAGGAAATACTTACAAAATGAAATTCTATAGAAATAGAGGAATCAATATCAGTTGTGAGATTTCAAGCTTAGAAGTTTTACCTGAAAGGATGAATTTCATTTAGGCTGTGAAGTTTACAATGATGGGCCATATCTTGGGAAATGTGAAGAGGTTAGATTTGGACATGAATCTAAGAAAGTCACCTATCTAAAGATGATAATTGAACCCAGAATTATGAACAATAAATCCACAGAAAATAAAAATTAACAGTCTAAACATTTTGTAACAAAAAAGCAGTGAGGGCCAGTGGTGCATGCCTATAATCCCAGTGGCTGGGGAGCCTGAGGTAGGAGGATTTCAAGTTCAAAGCCAGCCTCAGAAACAGCGAGGTGCTAAGGAACTCAGATCCTGTCTGTAAATAAAATATAAAATAAGGTTGGGGATGTGGCTCCGTGGCCAAGTGCCCCCGAGTTTAATTCCTAGTATGCCCCTTGCTCCCCCCAAAAAGGCATGAGAGTATGTATTTTTTTAAAGAAGAAGAATGGTTAAAGACAGGACAACTAGAAAGATCTTTTGAAATCTTCAAGGTTTAGACCTATTCCTCCATGGTCATTCTCCTTTCAAAATCTTCTAAATTCTGAGGCATATTTTGCAATAAAGGACAAAAAAAATGTGACCTGAAAGTTTGAGAAACTTGCTAAAAGCCACAGGGACAAGTGGCAGAATTTGGCTCCTTTATTCTTACATTTGCCTTCCATTTCACTGCACTCTTGAATGTCTTACAATAATCAAACTTCCTCTCATCTGCTTTAAAACAAAAAGGGAGAATACCCCCAAATCAGTAGGGCAGCATTTAAGCTACTAAACTGTTTAAGCATGATATTTCATTTATCAGAGACCTTTTTAAAAAATATTTTTTAGTTGTAGTTAGACACAATACTTTCACTTTATTTTTATGTGGTGCTGAGGATCGAACCCAGGGCCTTGCACGTGCTAGGTGAGCGCTCTACCGCTGAGCCACAACTCCAGGCCCTGTCAGAGATCTTAAGAGCTGTATTTCTCAATTTTTTGAAAATGAGGGTTCACAATTGTCCCCTACCCTTTGCAGCACAAAGCCTAGAACCTTTGCCTGCTCCCAGCTTCCCAAGGACTCCAAATCTCTACCCCTATAGGTTCCAAATAGTTCAGCACTTTAATCTCTGCAGTGAGTGCCACATTGATGCCACAACTGTTCCCAAGCAGTAATATTTGCCTTTCTGCTGACATTCTCACAGCTGAAAAAGGGGAAAAGTCCCCAAATATAGGAGAGAGCATATTTTTGGAAAGCACTGTGATGGCAGCTGAATAATGTACCTGCTTTCCCAAGTTTCCATTCTAGTAAATTATGTTTATGAATGAGCTGGGAGAAGTGGTGCACACCTATAATCCCAGCAGCTTGGGAGGCTAAGGCAGGAAGGAGGATCACGAGTTCAAAGCCAGTCTTGGCAAAAGCAAGGTGCTAAGCAACTGAGACCCTCTCTCTAAATAAAATACAAAATAAGGCTGTGGATGTGGCTCAGTGGTCAAGTGCCCCAGAATTCAATCCCCAGTACCCGCCCAGCATCAAAATTATGTTTATAATTGAAATAATGTCATCCTTTTTTAAAACTCTCATGCCTTCTTCATTCTAGATTACCTTTTGGAAACTGTTAACTGAAAGGTTTCTGTTTTGTTCTTTTTCGCCCCTGAATGTTTTACACTAAGGCTTAATTAAAAAACAAAACAAAAAACCCTGAGACTAGTCTTCCCATACATGGTGATCTTTATTCATTGTGGGTTTCTGATTTGGCCATTAGAGATCTTGATGACAAGCTACTTATGAGGCCTGGGTCCAGTACCATCTTTTCAACCCGAAATTGGCCAAACCGAGCCTTGGAGCTTAGTACATCATGTCTGTCATATAAAGTGCAGTCTGCCAGGAGACGTAATCCCCCACCACGTACCCTTCATCCAATCAGCACAAGCCACTCATGCACCGGAACACCAAGACCTGTGGAAGAAATCCTCAGAGGATCACAAGTGTAGGTTTCAAAAGCAGAATTTCTGGAATCCATGGTAAAACTAATCAATTTTACATAGAGAATGAAAAGACCAAAATCTGTCCCTAGAAACTAATCATTTAGAGTTAAATTTTGATGAAATAGACACTGGATCTTTCTGTAGAGTTAGCTAAAAATTTAGAGAATGGGAGATTGGGGGACTCTTTCCCCTGTAATCTCAGCAACTAGGGGGATTGAAGCAGGAGGATCACGAGTTTAAAGCCAGCCTGAGTAACTTAGAGAGATCCTGTCTAAAACCTACAAATTTGGGGATGGGGGTGTGGTTCAGTGGTGCCCCTGGGTCAATCCCTAATACCAAAAAACAAAAACCCCCCCAAAAACAAAATTTTCAAATCTTTGATTTACATTTGTGTAAAAACATGGGCAGAACTTAAAGTTCTAGGCTTTTTTATTTCTCATCAATTTGGTTGTCTCATTAACAACTTTGTGCTTTCGCATCTTGGTCTTCACTGGTTGGATCTTCAGCCCTTTGGCAGTTGTTGACTCGCTCTCCTCTCCCTCACCAATACCCCTGAGTCGAAATAATCTGCTGCCACCTATTGGCACAAGTGAAGTGGAACACCTGAGCCCTGTGGGGCCACAAAGGCAAATGGTATGTCTCTTTCACATTGCTTCTCTGTACTGATAAAACCTCAGGGACAGTAATTCTGCAGGATTTGTGCTGTGGTCTTAATTTATATCATATTCTATCTAATGTACAAGCTGAATTCTAATTTATAACAGTGGAATTGAAACTGCTTGGCCCAAAGTTACTACATCTGCCTGGGTTGCTGTGGGACATCTGAAGCCCCCACTAGAGTTTTATTTAAGAGTTTCTGTAATTTTTATTTCCTCTGCAGAAACCCCATGGTGATTCCAGTCGAGCCCGAAGTGCAGTGGTGGATGAGCCTAACTATCAGCAGCCTCAAGATAGGCTCCTTTTATCTAACTTCTTCTCCAGGCCCAATACAACTCAGTCATTTATGGTAGAGTGACATGCTTCCTGTTTGCTGATGAGGAAGAGAACTGAGGGAAAAAAAAATTAGCTTGTCCGACTTACCAAGAACCTAGATATTTCTGAGCACAAGCACAAAACTCCAGTATATACCAGATCAGCCTAACTTGCCTGTCTACCCTGCTTTTGTGGAATTACACCACAAGTGGTATCAGAATGAGGCAGATGTGTCAGGACTTCTTCCCGTTGATATTTTAAATGCTGACATTGCTTTACCATTTACTATATATTTACCACCTCTTTTAAGCAATAACAGAAAACTGATTGTTAGTTTGGACAATGTGCACTGATCTTGCCCATTTACAGGTTGAAAGTGCAATCCCACCTCATCTGCTTTGTGGCAAAAGGGCTTGGATAGCCTAGGGAAGTGACCCACATCTCACACATTGTGGGGGTGCCCTATAACCAGGCCTCCCGACATGATTCTACAACCATCAGCAGCTTCAAGAGAGGCTTTCAGGATGATGATTTGCAACCCACTTAACCCAGCTCATGACCCTTGAGCCATAATTAGCCTGAGGCACTGCACAATCTCCCATCTGTTATAGAGTGATGAGAATAATAAGAGAGGGTATTTAGGGGGTTGGCAGAGCCCTGCTCCCTTTGGAAGCTCTAGAGAAGAATCCTTCCTTACATCTTTCTAGCTTCTGGCAATCCTTGGTATTCCTTGGATTGCAGTTTCATTGCTCTGATTTTTGCCTCAATCATTATGTGGCCTTCTCTTCCCTGTGAGTCTGTCCAATTTCTCTCTTAAAGCTACTTGTCATTTAGGGGCTGGGGTTGTGGCTCAGTGGTAGAGTGCTTGCCTGGCATGTGTGAGTTACTGGGTTCGACTCTCAGCACCACATATAAATAAAGGTCCACTGAAAACTAAAAAAACAAAAAACAAAAAACAAAACAAAAAAAAACAGTATCTGTCCCTGTCCCTGAATTTAGGGCCCATCCTAATCTAGTATTACTCTACCTTAATTTGATAAAATCTGCAAAGATCCTATTTCCAAATATGTTCACATTCACAAGTTCCAGGCAGACATTAACTTGAGGAAGACACTATTCAACTTAGTAGACCTCAAGAAGCTTGCTTTAAGAGAAAACTCGCTGAAAACAAGGGCAGAAAAGAACTGTGAGCATTTCTTATTCTTAGGGTTTAATGTAGACCCCAGAAAGTCTGAGAATATCTTGGTCTTCTCATAACTTAATCCAGTATATTTTTAAAGCTTATGTTCTAGAGCTATATTCTTTCCTATCAAAATTTAACTTTTCCTCAGGAATAAAATAGAATGAAAACACTTCAGGTCTCTTTTTATAATAGTAATAAAGTAAAAAATTCTCTAAGCCATTTCTCTCCCCATTTGCCCTCATAAGAGATGAACCAGTAGCTTATTTAATTGAAAGACACTATCTGATCTGACCTTACAGAACCTTATTGTAGAATATAGGGCTTCATGGGAGAGGGGGATTCCCTAAATCTCCCAATTCAGCTCTCTTGATAGGGAATTGAGGGATGTTTTTTTCATTCCAGAAGCCCCAGCAGAATGGTATAATTACATCTTGAGATGTAAATTTAAATTCCTTGAGATGTCTGAAATGTTGTTTCCTAAAGCTAAAAAGAAGATGTAAAGTTCAGTTCAGTGTGGTAACTTCATGGGTATTTCAGTATTGCTGAAAAAGTAGATTGTTTTAAAAGTCAGCATGCAATAGATAAGTCAGATTAAACTCCCTTGAAGCCAATTAGAATATTAAATCATGGGATTTATAGAGTCATACTAATAAAAGGCACAGAATGTGCAGTGTTTTTTTGTTGTGGTTTTTACATGTCAATAAATGGCTTGGGATTGCCTAATAGGAATTCAATACAGGTTGGCACATGCCACCTTTTGCATTGGTGTCTATTTCAAGATTTTCCCTTGTAAACCTGCTGCAGTATTATCCTTTGGGAGAAGCTGTATAGTAAGATCTCTCTCTCCTTTTCTTTTAGCCAGAAACACAGTATCATCGTTCACATGCACTTGAGTATCCTCATCAAACCCGACCCAGTAGGGGATCTGCAGGTATGGTGGGGCTGCAGCTTTTATTTTTGCTACAGTGTGATATTACACTTATCTTCCCTTTCTACAGATTTTTTTGTATTTAGTTTTTCTACATCTTTGTAAATTTCCTTAAAATTCATTTGGAAGATGAGGTATAATAAAAATAGTTCAATTGATCAAAGCCAAAAAGTTCCAGATTTCTGTTTTTTTCATATTATGTAAATTAACCTTTCACTACTCTAGTAAACTACTTTATGTAATCTTTTTAAACCTAAAATGAGTCATTTTCATATCATTCAAAACATTATTTAAGAACACAGCATGAGTTTTATTATGTAGGCAAAAATCCATATTCCTATGGATTAAATTGCTTTATAAAGTTTACATATTAGACCAAATTAAGAAATTCTAAAATGTCAGAATATGATGAGTCCGATTTTATCTCATTAACTCTTATCTCAAAATTATACTCTAAATTAAATTAACAAAGGAGTCATGGGAGAAAATTTCAGGATGTCTTTAATTTCTCATCGGAGTCTTCACTATAATCAGGGTCATTCTCATTGTCATAGTTGAAATTTAGAAGTACTGATCCAAGTTGAAATGTTTCCTGTTAATGATAAATCGGCAAGTAACAATAAAAACTAATCAAGCCATTTTTGTAGTTCAAGTGATTTCTCTTAGCCCAGTTCCTACTAATACCATTGCTTGGTAGTCTTTAAATGCTTTCATTGGACTCCTTCTACAAAAGAAGCAATGCTACCCCTGAGCTACAATTATTATATTCAGCCACAGATGTAACTAATATTTAAAAACGGTGAGTGAAACATCTTTTTAATCAGTGGGTTCCTAAGCACAACTATTTCTTAAAAATGCACGTTTTTTTTTTAATGGAGTAAAATATTTAAATTTGGATTTATTGGTAAATACATGCTTTACTACTTAGTTCCAGTCTCCAAATTTAAAATCTGATAAGTGGAACAAAAAGCCCTAGGATATAGATTTTCATTACCAAATCTAGACTATTTACTATTACTCTGTGATGTCATCTGTCTGACAGGTTCTCATTTGCATGCCTCTCCAAAAATCTCAAAGCAGAGGTGGACCAATCTCTAAGACCAGGCAGGGACCATAAGGCAAATGAGAAGAACCTATCAGGCTGCAGCAAACACGTGGGAAGACTTCAAGAATCAGTGTTCGACCATCAAATGATGGAGAGCGTGTATACAAGATCAACTAGAATCCATCTTCATGAAGAGTTATTTTGGTAAAACTGACTGAGAAAAACAATAGACTACCCACCAAAAGACTGACTACACGGGTAATGTTTCTATCTCCAATTATTGTCTTTCAGTGTAAGTTAACCTATCCACTCAACAGTAAAGACTGTACCCCAAAGATGTAAAAATGAATAATTGCCCCCAAATCACTGCTCATGTTGTCTGTTAAGGATGATTAGTACATTTATAGGATTCTATGAGATTATATATACAACAATAAGTAGCAAATGATTTGATATTAACAATATCACTGGCTTCAGAATATTTCAGCTTGTATTAATTTCTTGAGAGTTGTACTCAGTTTTGTCATTTTTAGGAGATAGTGCTACAAAAAAATCTGAGCTACTCATAAAATAAACATCATTCCTAAAGCTTTCTCATTAGATTTCTAATGAGAATGAAATGGAAGGGCTGAGTAATTAAAGGCCTCAGCATTGGTAAAAAGTAACCCGTATAACTAATTTTTTTTTTTTAATATTTATTATTTTTTAGTTCTTGGCGGACACAACATCTTTGTTGGTATGTGGTGCTGAGGATCGAACCCAGGCCGCACGCATGCCAGGCGAGCGCGCTACCACTTGAGCCACATCCCCAGCCCCGTATAACCAATTATATCACATATTTTTTTAGAACAGCTCAACCTTGCTTGTGTGATGTCAGCTTATGCTAATTTTCTTCTTAAAGTATTTTACTGGTTCTATTTTTTCCCAAATATTTAATTTATCTTGCAAGCTTTTCTCCTGAAGCTCTAGAAAAGTTAGCATTATTTTTTAAATAATTTATAGAAACTATTTTTGAGCCACCAAAGCACAAATTCCTTAAGAATCTAAGAAACTTGGACTAAGAAATTGACCCAATATAAACATATCCTAACAGCAGAAGAAAAGAACCTTGGCATACTTCAGATTTTACCATGGATGTTTTCCTGAGGGTACTCATAAATACAGTAGTGGTTTTAACTATGGCTTAAATGTATTTAAATTTCATTGAACTTACCTTAATTATCATTACCAATGTTAGATCTTATTGTTAATTTTCAGAGTGGATAAATTCAAAATCATAATTGAGGTGACTAATTATGTCAACATAATACTTTATCACATGAGGACAGACGCTTCAAACAACTTGCACTGAATTACATTTTAATACAATTAAAAGAGTATTTTTTAACTTGCTTGTAATCACAAACTGAAAACTGTCATGTGCTTACTTTTAGATAAATTATTATACATAATGTTCAATAGCAATAGGTTTGTTTTATGCATATGGTACATTGAATGAGTCTACAAATCAGATTTTAAATTGAACAGTCCTTTTTAAAAATCCATCTATTCTAATGAATACATACCACCAACTCATAGAAATATAAGTGAAAATTTGTACTGTTTTCACAAATCAGTCCACTGACTGCCCTGTAACAAATCACTGGATCCATATATGGCTTGCCTTTCAAAGTTAAGAGTCAGAAGGTTATTTAGCCCAATTCCCTCATTCTTGTGTGTTTGTGTCTTCAAACCAGTGCAATTTTCTTTTACTTTAATATATAGAATCTGACAACTTTAGATCTTATTTTGAACAGAAGAGGGAGATAAGGACACCAAGCAGCAATCAGACAGGACTATAACATATATCTCTTTATGCTAGAGAAACCAGGATTTCTATTGTCATGCTAACTAGGATTATTTTTTTGGCTCTTCTTTATCCAAAACACCATATTTTATCTATATCACATTTAAATGATATAGGGGATCATTTAAAATGCCCCTAATTTTTTACTTATTTAATCATATATAAAATCCCAAAATGTTTGAAGTAATCCGAGTACTTGCTTCTTCTATACCTCAGGAAAAGGAGTACAAAACCTGCCTCAGGGAGGGGAAAAAAATAGGAGAGGGTCTTAATATTGAAGATCATTAAGACCAAAAGCAAACTGGCCAATTATTTGGAAGACAGCTGCTCAGCAAGTAAGTGTTCTTTCTAACTAGGTCTAAAAGACAGGCACACACTGAAAGTACTACATGAAGATCCACATTCTTCCCCCGCCTCTCCAGTGCTGGGGATCAACCCAGCGACGCAAGTGTTATACCACTGACCTATATCCTTAGCCTTAGACCCACATTCTAGATATGGATGAAGAGCCATAGAAGTGCTATCAGAAGTATACCACCCTCCCAACTTCACTATCACATTCCTTCACATGAGGATATCACAGTGTCAGGTAATTTCTAGGTTACACTAAAAACAGCTTCAAAATTTCTGCTTGGTTTAGTCAATCTAAGTAATTTAGGCTGGAAAGACAACTTCTCTCAAGAGTTAGGTTAACTTTTTCCTTTAAGTGTTGACTACACCTTGCTTCCAGTGGCACTGATGAAAGCTTAAGGATCTTTGAAGAGAAAAATTCCATTATTTCTTTTCTTTCTTGAGAGCGGATCTTTTCCCTCCTCCTTTGGAAGGTTTGCAGTATTTTGCTTCCATCTGAGCCAGAAAATTGTCCATTTCCTTTTGCCGATCCTTTTGTCTACTCTGTTTGAAAAGTTAAAAAAACAAGGCTGTCAAAAATGCCACACTATCCAAAGTATTTCATGGTTACTAGAAATTGGGGGCAAAAAGGAATGGCAGAACTACACAGGGTCTCTTTTCTTTTTTTTTTTTTAAAGAATGTTAGGGCTGGGGCTGTAGCTCAGTGGCAGAGCACTTGCCTAGCATTTGTGAGGCACTGGGTTTGGGTCCTCAGCACCACATAAAAAATAAATAAAGGCATTCTATCCATCTACAACTACAAAAAAAGCTTTTTAAAATGTTGGGTTTTTATACCCAGTGCCTCACACAAGCACTCTACCACTGAGCCACAACTGCAGTCCCTACATGGAGTTTCTTTTAGAAAGTGATGAAATGTTCTACCATTAGACAATGATGGTAAGAGTTATGTCTTAAAAGCAGAAAACAAAATATGATACCACATATATGCTTCTGAAAATTATTTTAAAGATAGGAGTCAGAACTGAACAAATCTGCCAAGTTTACCTGAATGAGTGCTTTCAAGTTATCCACTCCTTCATCAAGCCCCAACTCCTTCCTACTCATTTCTGCTTCTTTAGCTTCTTCTTGAGCCTGAAGCAGAAACTCTCATGAGACTTCAGGGCAACCAGGAAAGGCTTACAGTAACACTTTCTTTCTCAAAAGAAATCCTTGATGATTTGAGAATTTTATCAACAGAAAATGAGTAAAATTACATAAATGTTATTCACTAGATAACAACAAACACTGGTATCAGGCAATACATTCTCTAACTCAAAAAAAACCATTTGGTTTTTTCTCATTTCTACTTGCTAGAAGTAGCAAATACCCTGATATCATAAACCACATGGTTATAGAAAGGAAAACATACTTCAGGTGCAATAATCCCAGAGGCTGTAATCCCAGAGGCTCTGGAGGCCGAGGCAGGAGGATCACAAGTTCAAAGCCAGCCTCAGCAACATAGTGAGACCCTGTCTCAAAATTAAATACAAACGAGAGCAGGGGATGTCACTCAAGTGGTTAAGCATCCCTGAGTTCAATCCCAGGTACAAAGGAAAACATGCTGGGAGAGCCAGGAAAGGTCACTTAACCAAAGATGTTCTCAAAAGGATACCAGGCTATAGGTACTTCGGGATTTTCCTCTGGATGCTCAATTTACTAAATGAGACTAGGGACAGTCTGGTGAACAATTCTAGTTTAAAATGATTTCTCCTGAGCAGTCATAGAAACGTTAACAAATTTAGTTTTGATCTTTATTGATTTCAAAGCTGACTATCCAATTTTCCAGAACACCACAATAAATGGTTCCACCCTCTGGTGAACTTTCCAAGTAACAAAGAATGCTGTTAACACTAGGGATGATGTTTAGATTATTATGTCAATAAATAGTTTCCTTGTATTCAAATTCTCTCTCAGCATTCCTCTCTCAAGTTTACTGGATAGTCTCTCAAAAACAAAACCATTTTCTGTTTGACTCAGACCCAGCAAATCAACAAATTAATTCACCCTGATCTACTGGAGGGGCTGTGCTATTTTCCCCTCAAACTCTAGGGATTTTCCTCAAGCTAATGGCCTATTATTGAATACAGGTATGCTCAATTTCACCTGGGAAAATGACAAACTGTGAGCCTACTTCTAAGCAGATGTAGCCAATGAAGCAAAACAATTATGTTCTTATGCTTTCCACTTCTCTGCCTAGTTCAACAGAAATGGCCCTGGCCTTTTATGTAGACAAAACAGACCCTTTAAATTTGTACCAAAATAAAAAGGTCAGCTTTCTTCCTGCGTGTCATCTTGTTCCTAGAAGCTGCAGAACTTTTCACACACCTGAGTTAGCCACACAAAAGGAACCTCAAGTACCCACCAATATCTAAAATCTTTAATTGTCTGTTCTCCATGGTGCTGCAATTATGAAAGCCAAGCTAAAGAAATGATTACTTTGATATGAATCCAAAGTAACTTTTCCAGAAGACAAGAGGCAGACATGGCTACTCTAAATTCACTCTCTCCCTAAACTTCATCTATCCTTAAGCACCTTCCTCTGCTATCATTCCCTGGCCCTACCCCAGTTTAATATGGGTGTAAAGATACTCAGGCCATATTACTTATTCTTAATAAGTGTTTCTCAAAGGCCATTAAAAACACCCTTAAAAATAAACTATTCATTTGAAAAAAATGTGATCCAACTTAAGAATCAATCCCCCAAAAAGGCTCAAGAACCTGCATTTCTGCATTGTGAATTTTATTTAAAAATTTGATATACATTAGCTGTACAAATTTATGAGGTAAGCAATCTACTCTGCTCTGTACCCCTCCCCCATTGGGTACTGAAGATTGACCCAGGGGCTTACATATGTCAAGTTAAGGTATACTCCTGGCTTTTTTAATTTTGAGACAGGGTCTTAATAAATTGCCCAGACTGGTCTCAAAGTTGTGATCCTCCTGCCTCAGTCTCCTGAGTAACAGGCAGATACCACAGCACCCAATTTTTTTTTCTTTTGGGGTGTGTGTGTGTAGTTCTAGGGATCAAGTGCTCCACCATTGAGCTACACCACACCACAACCTGTACTTTTTAACAAGACACAATCTCTTGCATCCTTCTCCTTGTTCACCAACCAAGTAAGGACTTGCGTCTATGTTACACACCTGGACTCCACATCACTTCATCTGATGAGTGCTTCAGCAAAGTCATAAGAATTGGCACATATGAAAGATATTTCAGTATCACCCTAAGTTGATACTAAACAATTCATGCAATAAAATCATCTTGAGCACCACATACCAAAATAAAGAGGTTTTTCTTGAACTGATATGATCATATAATTACATGAAAGCTATAGACCAACCTAACCTTAACCCTTGTCCACAGTCTTTAAATATCGTTATAAATACTCTCAAATCCTATTTGTAGGAAATTAAGATACAAACCATCAATAGCATTTAAACTCTTACCCTCCTTTTCCTTGCATTCATTTTTTGTTTTGACTCTTTAACAAAGGCATTATAGGATGGGACCTCTTTGGCGTCAATAGCTTGCTGAATGATGTTCCTTATCCTGGGTTCCTCTGTGTACTGCACACAAAGCACAGACTCCATGATCTGATCCATGTCACCCTTGAAGTCCAGATAGGCCTGCTTAATATCAGCCAGTTCTTCTTCAGAACCTTTGTAGGTTTTTTCAAAAGCCTGAATGTCCTCTAGAGATATCTGATGATAAAGAGGAGATGGCTGTAATATCAAGAATCTTATTTTAAGTAAAAGGTATACTAGTAAAACTGAAGATTTAAGTGCTTCTTCGCAAACACAACAGTGTTTTGAGTCAAAATTGTGGCAAGTAACCAAATTTCCCATGCCTAAAATTTTTTCAGAGTTCTCCCTAGTCCATCAGTCACAACTGCTAAACTAGGAATCAGTGAAAAGAAATTTAAGTGAAGTTTCCAAAAGGATGGGAAGAAAACCATATAAACATATACACAACTGAATACATAAGATACATCCTGAACACACACTCCAGTCTTCACCACACAATCACTTTGTATCAGCATGAAATGAAAGGCCTGTTTACTTAAGTGTTGTGTTAAATTCCTCAGTTTCTTCAAAATTAACACAAAATTAAAGGCTTCCCATGGCATTTAATGAACGTTTGTTTATTAAATGATGGGAATAATCAAAGAAATCTTCAAAGCCCACCTACCTTTTTAAAGAGTAACCTCCAGTAGGCCTCCCAGTCCCGGTCTTGGTTGAGCACCGTAGAGTCCTCGTCCACTGTTCCCTGCTCATCATACACTGTTCTCTGCTCTTTGTCACTTAGAACCGCATAAACTCTCCCAAGGATCTGAGAGAAAAGAGCATCCAAAACTCACCCGTGCCCTTACCCACACCGCGAAAAATAAAGGTAGAAAACGCCAGGTCAAGATCACGCACCTCCCCTAGGCGGTTCGCAGTGGTTGGAAGCCCAAAAGACTGAATCCCAGCGTAGTCACACATACCTGGAACCGAAGGGTAGCGTCTTTCTTGTTTCCCTCGTCCACCCGGTCAGGGTGAACCTGCAGGGACACTTTGTGGTAGCCGCGACGAACCTCGCCGTCTGAGGCCTCGCGCCGTACGCCCAGCACCCGGTAAAGGTCGGTGGTACCGAACACCTGCTCGCATTGCGCCAACAGCCCCATGCTGAGAAGCGGAAAGTCTCCGCGACACCTTAGTTTGCCCGGCTTCCTTTTCCCGCTCAAAAAGCCCAGGGCGCCTGCGTCACAAAATACCCGGAAGGGGCGGGGCCGCACCGAGTAGACTCACTTTACGGCCGCTGCAAAGAGGGCGTGGCCAAGTTTTCCCGGGCCTTGGAAAAACCAGACCCGGAAGTGCAACCGGCGCCTGGGTTTTCTAGACCGAGAGCCCTAACCGTCACGGATCCGCCACATCCTCTCGAGCCCGCCCTCCTCTTGCTGTGGAACTTTAATCTTCTATGTTGCTCCCAGTGTTCCAGCAGGCACTTCTTCACTGATAAGAATATCCGTGTATTAGGTTGTATTTACAAGTCAAAGTTTTGTTTTTTTTTTAAATGATAACTGGTCTGTATCAGATTCAGTAATTTCACATGGCTCAACCTGTTAAGTAAATTTGTATTTTCCCAAATAATTCAGTAAAGTAGTGTCAGGGTACTTTCTTTCAAGCCCTGCAGCAAAAAGACTATTTGAATAAAAGCACAAAACACCTGTCTTAGTATTTTAAAAAACGAAATTCTGATAGTACTCATGTCAACCCCAATCATCTTCCTGTTCCAGAGTTACCTTATACACTGGAGGAGGTAAGATGACCCAACCTCTCATTTTAGTAAAGACCGAAGCTGCTGAAGCAGAAACTATTTAATGCTTAGTAAAGTTCACAGCGGAATTTGAGCATATTGGATTTGAGGGGACAGCAGGGTGGCTGGGGCTATCATCCAATACATGTGTGAAACAGGCTTGGAGATCCAAAGCAAGACTAAGGCTGGAGAAAATTTTGGAAATCAAGATAAGCCCACACAAGAAATATGTGTATATAGATCTTAGTCCAGACAAAGGATAAACCAGAATGGAAAGTGAGTTGAAAGAAACTCATTGGAGCTCAAAATAATAACTCATTTCACATCAGTTCTCCTCACAATCAGGAATTTCCAGAATCCCATAATCCTCTGCCAGAAGTTCCTGCAAAGCCTCAAACTTTCCAAGGCACGTTGATCTTTGAAACATCCAGAGTTGCCAGGGTTTTTCAAAAGCATTTCTCAGATCCCAGGTCAAATCTACATAAAGTCCATTGCCTGTCTGTCATGTCTTGAACGTCTTCTCAAAGCAAGCAGAAGCCAACCAAAACAATCCTAGGGGAGTTTCCAAGACTCTAGAATTTGAGATGACCATTAATTGTTCTCAGAGTATAGAACCCAGAGAATACATTTGAATATTGATAGGGTTTTAGAAACTTTTTAATTTCCTGTATCTCAGTCTTTTTTTCTTTCTTTTTTTTGTCTTATCTTGGTGCCAGGGATTGAATTTGAATCCAGGGGTTCTTAGCCACCAAGGCACATCCTCAGCCCCCTCCTTTTTTTTTTTTTTTTAGACAGGGTCTTGCTAAGTTGCTTAGGACCTAAGTTGCCGAGGTTCGCTTTGAACTTGCAATCTTCCTGCCTCAGCCTCCCAAGCCCCTGGGATTATAGGCATGTGTCAACACACCTGGCTGTATCAGTCTTATACCAAAATTTGAAATATATATTATCCAGAAGGCACTAAAACCATGTAATTTATGCTTACAGTTATGGAATTCTGCATCTCTTGGGGGACAGATACTGTGATATTTTGTTTTGGTAATCAATCATTTATGTTACCAGACTCATGACACCTAAACATGATCCTATTACTGAATTTCTTAGTAGACTTTTAAAAAGCATCCCACCTTTATTTATTTTTTCCCCTATACACACAACATATGTTGAACAGGACTTTCTAGGTAGGTACATTGGGGTGCTTTACAAAATCAGCTTCCTTCTAATTTCTCATCCTTAAAAGGTAGGCTATTACAGCCCAAAAGCAATTTTCATGATCAATTTGTCTTTGTAAAGTTACAATTACATGTCAAGCAAAACAATCTACAATTACAAAAAAAGAATAAGAGATCTATGTTCTCGTGGGATGATCAAGAATGATTAAGGAAACATTTGGATAGGTCAAGTCACTCTGGTTGGGAGTTTTTGAAGCAGGAAAGTTTTGAACTTTAATTGTAAATTTGCCCAAATGATCCAAGGACAACTCAAAGTCCAATCTTCCCCACAGCTACAGTTTTTCCCCAAAATGACATCCAGAAATGCTTAGTATCTAGACCCAGCTCTTATACAAAAACAAATCTCTGGGCTCCGCTTAAGCTAGGCCAAAAGAATATGGTAACTTAGAAAACTCCATTTATTGACCTCCAAACCCAACAAATTTATGAGCTCCACACAAGTATTTTAGGGGACCTTGACTTTGTAACCACTGTTATATTCACTGAAGTCAACTTGCTTCTGTTTCTATAGCCTCTGTATCTGTTTTCTGTGAAGCTAAGAGAAGTTCACGTGCCCGTTTTCTTCGCAGTCTCTCAGCATTTGTGATCACCATGGGATGCAGAGGGAAAAAGCCAGAAAGACCTAAAAGCAACAGGATATTCATTTATTATAATAGACTACAAGCCAATGTTTCCCTGAGAAGTTTGCCTCACAGAATTGAGGTCTGAGTTCAGACCCAGGGTATGGATGTAAATGCCTCTCACCTACCCAACTTTCTCCTTCCTCTTCCTCCAACCTCCTCCCTCCATTTACTGCAAGGAGTCAGTGGATGATGTCTGTTTCCTAACATTATTCTCCTTACTTGAAAAAAAGGTAAACTAACAGATGGCCATTGGAGATATGTTATTCCCATTTTTAGCATAAAATCCCAGCCACTTATAAAGGCTTCATAAAGAAGTCCATAAAAGGAATCTCCAGATTCCAAATGACAATTAGATCACAACTTCAGTTTCCACTCCAGTCCTGAGCAGTCTGGAGGGAATGAAAAACATTCTTCAATCTCAGATGACGAGAACTTAGAACTGACTTCAGTGTAAAATCCCCCCAATGAGTTAAGACCAGAGCTGAGTTACCCAGAAGCTTCTCCATAGGCTTAGAGAGGTGGGCTCCACAGCCAATCCAATGCCGGATCCTTTCCAGGTTGAGGGCAACGAGTTTTTCTCCATGACAGTTGGGCAGTGGATCATAAGAGCCCACCTGCTCCACGAAACGGCCATCCCTGGGACATTTGTTGTGAGCAGCCACAATACGGTAAAAGGGCCGATTGGTGCAGCCACTCAGAGCAAGGCGGATGGTTAAATGGCCCCCATGATAGGCCTTGCAGAGGAGGGTAGCTATAGAGAAATAATTGGTTAAGACACAAGATCACAGAGCACAAAGCAGGCAAAAATGAGATAGTCAGAGGAATAATTCCCTTCTTCCACTCAAATGTCTTCAATCTCAATGTTTTCTAGTTAATGTGGCTTAGATACCATCCTCTTAGTGAAACATCCCTTCACTGCTCCAGCCAGAAATGCTCGCTTCATCCCCAAATCCATTCCGAAAAGGCCTACCATTTATAAACTCTTTGACTTTGTCGTACCCTTAACTGCCTCATCTGTAAAGTGAGATGAGGGTTTCTGGAAGGAAAATTTGAGCAGAGGGTCAACTGTAACGCTGTGTGGCTGATCCAGCGCGCCTAGGAGAGCGCTGCTGCCTCTAGTCCAGGACGCCCCAGCTCCCGCCACCGCCCGGAAGGTCCCGCGGGCCGCGATGACTCACTGAGGTGGACCATGGTGGGGTCCACGTGCGACTCCTCGGATCGTCCCGCTGCTGATACAGACCCGCAGGTGAAGTCGCAGTCGGGGCCCAGCTGCTGGGACGCCCGGGAGCTTCCCGAACCCTAACGCTGCGGTCCCGGAAGCGGGCGTCCCCTCGCCCCGCCTCTTCCGCTCTCCCCCATCTTGTTCCCGGGGTGCTACACCGTACGGCCTTCGGGGGCGTTCCAGGTGGTGTCTTAGGTGTGGATGTGTGACCCTCTCTGGGATGAGTGCCCGCTGGAGTAGGGAGCTGGGGAAAATGCCGGTCACGTTCAGAGGAGGGCTAAGTGTTCCCCAAACCCATACATCCCGCAAACGTGTTCTGAGCACCTGGTGGTGCCGCGGCGCCGTCCTGAGAACCTAAATACAAAAGGGTGCTGTCCTCTCCCCTCAGGGAGCTCTGTCTAGTAGGGAGTCGGTGGGAGCGCACCAGAAAAGCTAAGGGCGGTCTGTACTCCCAGCGGGGGTAAGTAGAGAAAGGGAAGCCGAGAAGGCGACGCTGGGATTTTCTCAGGAGACTTCGCAAAGGGGCAGCGTTTGGGCCGAGACAAGGAGTTTAGCTTTCTGTTTACTAGTTTGCCTCTCACTTTTCCTCTTACTCTTTTCCCACTCCCAGAGGCAGTCACATCATATTAGGAGAACCTTTATTCCTGCTTTTGCTGTACTGTGATCCAAGAAGGCAGAAGTGGAGTATGATTTGTCATCTTGAGTGAAGAGATTGGCATTTCTTATAGGGTGTTGTTTTCATAGACCTTGTGGTTTAGATCCATGAAAATACCCCTGGTTCATTAGGAGTTAGAACCCCAGACTGCAGCAAAGCTTCTTTGTTCATCGTTGGTTCCAAAGGTCCTGGCCACAACTACTATGCTCTTTGCTCTAGTAAGTTGACCCAGCATAGGAGTCTTTTAGGCCCACCTTTGAAGATGATGGCTTAATTCCAAGTTCCAGTACGTGAACCTGGCTATGGACATTGGCAGCTGACTTCCTCCATAGTGACCCCAGAAGCTTTCATCAGAAAACCTAACAGTGACTCCATTGTACCTTAATTTAATTTCTATATATATATTATATAATGATTTATACATTTATATGATATATATATAGTACATACTACTTATAGTTTAGTATACCATACCTCCAGAACCACACTGATGAATTGTCTGTTTGTTTACATTTTTATTATGATCCAGTTTATATGGATTAGTAAAACATCCAGTAACAGCCAATGGAAATAAATGAATGAGTTTCTCTTCATTGAAAACAAACATTCTTTGGTTCTCCAGCTCTAGGCTTCATATGGTGAAACTTTCTCTGGAAAGGAAAGGAGCTCGGAGTCCCATACAGAAAATTCTTCGGTTTTAAGGATGTCAGAAAGATGGATTTCCGAAGCCAACCATCTCCTGTACTGTGTGGATTTCTGCAAGTAGAGCCTCATCTTTCAGTTTCAGCTACAGGAACAAGGAAGGGAAGTACACAGGTTATATCTGATACACCTAAGTATCTTTGAAGATGACCCTTCATTTATGGGGCCACAGCTAAAGAGCAAAGTCCCCAGGGATGGGATTGGCTTTTCCTATATTTATTTCAATGGAAGCTCTATTAAAATACTTTAGAGCCTTATTTTGTTTATATGGGTACCTTTACTTTCTCAAAATGCATCAGGGGTATGAGCTTTCATGATTTGTACATTTTTTGTAAGGTCACTTTATTAAAGTTTATTTTTAAAATTGTTCACATTATTACCAACATCTCTTGGCTAATATGTATATTCCCATCTAGCAATTGACAGGAAGTAATCAGAGATACATGAATCACAGACTTAAATTATATCTGAATTTAATTTTAGAATCTAGGTATGTAAGAAAGCCATCTAGTAACCTGCTGAATAACTTTCTCTTACTAGCAAAATCTTAATTTCTTCCCAGGGCAGCAATACTAATCAGTTCAAAAATCACATTCCTGCATCCTTGGCAGCTGGAGGTAGTCAGATGTCTGACTGTGGCCATTGTAAGCTAAGGTCATTGGGTGGAATACCTAAACAAGCCCTGGAGGTAAAATAGCTATAGTGTGGGGTTCCTTGTTTCTTTTCTCCCATTAAGCTATATTCTAAAACAGTGGAAAAAAAGATCACCTAGACAACATGTAGGTTACGAGTAAAAACCTAGCAGCCCCATGATGATGGCAAAGACAGTAAGAAAAATCTCTCTAAAAATATTCACATCATGAAACGCTCTAAAGTCCTGAATTAAATCAGCACCTTCCTCCTTGTTTCCCAACCTCAACATGGTGCAGGCAAAATGACAGAGGTATATGCATCGTACCTTTAGTGTGTACTTGTAAGCCTGCTCTGCTTCTAGTTGCCGTCCAGCCTGAAAAAAGTTCAGCAGCTGGTGATGATGACATGTCATACACATGGTGAGAAAAATACATTTCTCCAAATATTTCTACCTAACAAGAGGATTATACCTTCCTAGTTAAGAAACTGAATTCAAAGGGGAAGCAGGAAAATAAAAGGTGGTAAGTAAAGGCCAATATTTTTTAAAATCTCTCCTTTAGCCCAGGAAATTTTTAGAAACAATTTGCCTCTCATTTTTTTTTCCTGAAAGCTCATGAGTCATTTGTTCCTCCTAGAATTTATGTCATTTTGTTAGTAATTGCAACATTTTACAGTGCTTATTATGTGATTTCCATTGTTTTCCTCATGATGTTTTAAGTGCTTTATATATATTCACTTTTAATCCTTATAACCTGGAGATAAATACTATTATTATTATTATTATTGGTACCAGAGATTGAAATCAGGGGCTCTTAACCACTGAGCCACATCCTCAGCCCATTAAAAAAAAAAAAATGTTATTTTAGATGACCACAATACCTTTATTTATTTTTATGTGATGCTGAGGATTGAACCCAGTGCCTCACACATGCTACGCAAACACTCTACCGCTGAGATACAATCCCAGTCCCCCAACCCTTTTTATATTTTATTTTGAGACAAAGTCTTGCTAAGCTGTTTAGAACCTTGCTAAGTTGCTGAGGCTGGCTTTGAACTCGTGATCCTCCTGCCTCAGCCTCCCAAGCCACTGGGGATTATGGGCATGTGCCACCTCACTCCCAGATAATTACTATTATTTATCATTCCATGTTAACAGAAAGAAACTTAAGGCACAGAGAGTATAAATAACTTGCCAGGGTTTTTTAACTAGTAAGTGGAAGATCTGGGTTTTAAAAAAATGAAGTCTGGCTCCAGAGTCCAAGTTTTTACCTACTATACTTTATCCCATATTTCCATGTATTATAAAAAGTAAAAATTAGGATTCCTTCCATGCAGCTCTGGATATGAGGTGAGAAAACTAACTACTCTGCCCAGTTGATATATTCCTTGCATGAAGCTCTCCTCCATGAGTTAAATGAGATGATATATATTCCCTATTACACTTCACAAGTTTGAATATAAGAAGTTTGAATATTCTGTGTAAAAAACCACAGAATATTTGCACTGCAAGTGAACTTTGGATGTTTAATCCAATCTCCTGATCATGTGGAATTTTTACTAGTTCACAAAATTTGGATGCCCCAAACCCTCACTTCTTACAACATCTACCCTCTGAAATATTACCTCCTGAAGTTCCAGTATACCTGCTCTTTCTACCACTACTACCTCTGACTCCCTCCTGATGAAGGGAGGCAGAGGCCCAAATGATGTGAGCATCCAGAATAGTCAAAGAAGTTTTTTTTTTTTTTTAACATTTACTTTTAGTTGTAGTTGGACACAATACCTTTATTTTATTTTATTATGTGGTGCTGAGGATCGAACCCAGGGCCTCACATGCTAGGCGAGCGCTCTACCTCTAAGCCCACAATCCCAGCCCCTCCGAACAGTTTTGAAAAATAATTTTATTATTCTGAACATCATGACAGTAATGTTTAATAGAGCTTCCATGAAATAAAGATATACATTTTTATGTGTGGAGAGTGGTGATAGTGACTGGGAGACTAGTGTCTGAGGTTGGGCTCCCTGATGACTTCATGCCTATGGCATACTTGTTGACTGGGAAAGTTTCTGTGTAAAGGCATATGGAGATGTCCTCCATGCTAGAGTCTTATCAGCTTTGACCTTATTCTCAGGCACAGCAGCTCCTGGGAATGAAGGAACTTCCTTGCTAAGGAAACAACAATGTTTTACCAGTTCCATGCTGCTGAATCTGCCCTCGAATTGGTAACTTTAAACAGTGGACTATCTTCAGAGCTGCACAAAGCTCCTAACATTGCACATTGCAACTGTAGAATGTAACTGAGTAAATAGCTGTATTCTGTTGCTAATTCTGTTAACTTCATGAATACAAAGAATAATGCTTGGGGATGGGGTTGTGGCTTAGAGGAGGCCCTGGGTTCATCCTCAGCACCACATGTAAATAAATAAAATAAAGGTATTGTGTCCAACTACAACTAAAATAATATTTTTTTAAAAAAATAATGCTTGCATAGCCTTTCATCTGATTTAGAGACATATATGATAAAGATTGCTGGTGTAATTCTTGAGACCTGATTCTCCATCAGAGAGCAGCTGCTCCATCTGACTCCAGCTGCTTTATCGTCAAGATCTGCTTGTGTTTCCTCTTTATTTCTTCCCATCTCTCATTGCCCCTTGCTGGAACATGCTAGTTTGGCTGCACTGGTCATGGCACTTATGTATTTTTCTTAAGAAACTTATTTAGATATGGCATTGTGTTGAGAGCCACAGACAAGTCAAGATGGTGCCTAGCACTTTGCCAAGAGAAGTGGTTTGAGAAGTAACGCCAGCGAGCCATTAAGATGATAGAGATTCCTTAATGACTGACTGCTGTGTCTAGATTATGTCAATTAAGTTAAGCTGTGTGTAATCATTAAGATGGTGATTCCTTATTGGTTGACTGCTGTATCTAGTTTATGTTAGTTAAGTTAAGCTGTGTGTAATTAGTTGGGTATATATACTTCTCTGTCCCGTAATAAAGCGTCTCCTACTGTATCAACCTTCACAAGTTCCTTGTCACACACACCCTCCTACTTAATTTGCCCAGCCAGACTGCGGCAGCATTGCCAGATTACAGGTAGGAATGTGAGTAAATAATGTTACAGTGCACTTAAAAGTTTATATTGTGGTACTGATTTACATCCACTAGCAATTATGAGAATCCTCATTAATGTTGGTAATACCATACTTTAATTTTTGCCTCGAGAATTGTGAATTTGTCACATTATTTTGAATTGTATTTTCATGCTTTCTAGTGATCTACTTTAGCAAGCTGCATATTCCTATCCTGTGCCTATTTTTTAAACCAGTTTGTTGATAGGGGTTTTTTTTTCCTTATTATAGGAGCTATTTATATAACTTGGATACTAATTTTATGTCACTGGGTTTTCTGTTTTGATATGTGTGTGTTTCCAACCTTAAAGTAGTTCATTTACTGGTGTTTTATTTTTAGTTTGTGCTTTTAGAGCCCTAAGAAAAATTCCATAAGCCAAGATCATAGGGATCTTCTCTGTATTTGTTCTAGGTATTCAACAGGTTTTGCTTTTAAGATTTGGGTCTTTAAACCAGCTGGAATTGTGCATGTGTGTGTGTGCGTGTGCGTGTGTGTTTGTAGGAGGGTGTGAGATAAGAAACTAATTTCTTTTTCAAATGAGTAGGATCCAATTTCCCCACCACTATTTATTAAATATCTACTTGCTCCTCATTTTCAGAGACTAAATTGTGTTTTTAAAATGGCTTATATTAAAGCACACTTTATATACCACAGAATTCACTACTTTCAAGGTCTAGTAAGTTGTTCAACCATCACCATGATCCAGTTTTATTGTTTTTGTTGTTGTTTTTTAATATTTATTTTTTAGGTGTAGATGGACACAACACAATGCCTTTATTTTCATATGGTGCTGAGGATCGAACCCGGGTCCCGCCTGTGCTAGGTGAGCGCTCTACCACTGAGCCACAACCCCAGCCCAGGTTTGTTGTTTTTTTTTTTTTTTTTAAACAATACCTTTTATTTTATTGATTGATTTTGATGTGATGCTGAGGACCAAACCCAGGGCCTTGCACGCTAGGCAAGCGCTCTATCCCTGAGCCACAACCTCAGCCATGATCGAGTTTTTAAAAACTTCTGTTACCCTGAAAAGTTCTTCATGTATTTGTTGTGGTGATGCACACCTGTGATCCCAGCAGATCTGGAGATTGCTGCAGGAGGATCACAAGTTCAAAGACAAGGCCCTAAGAATTTAGTGAGACCCTGCCTCAAAAAACAAAAAACCAAAAAGGGCTGGGGATGTGGCTCTGTGGTTCAATGCTCCTGGGTTCAATCCCTGGTACCAAAGAATAAAATAAAAATAAATAAAGAAAAGTTTTTTCATGCCTATTTTATAGTCCTCATTCTCACCCCACCCTTGCCTCCAGACAACCATTAATCTATTTTTACTGTTTATATAGTTGTTCTAATTTCAAATAAATGGAATCATAACAGATGTAGTCTTTTTACCTTTTTTCATTTACATTAATGTTTTTGAGGCTCATCCACATTGCTAATATGTATCAAAATTTCATTATAATTATGGAGTAGTACTATATTGTGTAAATATTCTCATTTTGTTTACTCATTCACTGATGGAGTAAACAAATGTTTCCCATTTTGAGCCACTAGGAAATACTGTGATAAAAATTTACATACAAATTACATTTTTATTTTGTTCAATTCTCTTATAATATTCCCTCTTTCGTGTCATTGGTCATTGAAAAACTGAGGGTGGGACTGGAATTGTAGCTCAGTGGCAGAGCACTTGCCTAGTACATGTGAGGCACTGGGTTCGATCCAAATAAAAATAAATAAATAAAGGTTAAAAAAAAAACTGAGGGTGGCTCTCATTATTCCCAATTTGATCTTAGACTAATGTGCAAGTTATTTAAGTCTCACTATAGGAGAGTTATTTTTTTAATAGGTAAAGTACCTATCAAGAACTCCCGTAATACCTTCTTCAACCTTGTCCTTGAATCAAGGACAAGCATCCTCAGCCACAGGTTGAGAGGAAGAAATGATTCAGAAAGACTCAGAGAGCATCTTCTTCACGGATCCTTAATCTTTTTTGTGTTCTAACAGAACAATGGTCACATTTTTAGAACTCCCTTAACTAGAAAATCACATTTGAATATATGAGTTTTATATACATTGCAAGTAGAGGATTCTCAGGATGGCCTTTCCGCTGTCATCGGTAATATTGACCAAATCTAGATCTCATTTAACTACAACTATTATGCATTAATAGCCATCTTCTATCTCTCACTTACTTTGCCCCTAACCTCTGCTCCCTAAAAGGCATTGCATAAGAATCATAAGAATACTCACTTTCAGGCAGACCAGAGCCAGGTATGCCCATACTTCAGCATTGTAGTTGTTTAACACATTAGCTTCAGAGAGAGCATCTTCAGCCTCCATGAGCTCTTCCAGCTTGACAGCAAAGAGAGACACATGAATTGTAAGGTAAAGTAGTCTCCACTTAAACAGCTGGAGTGAGCTTAGATAAAACCACTATGTCCAAGTAATGTATGTCCATGATCACTACCAGTGGTTATCAATGTTTTATATTTTTAGCATCCAAATTATTCAAACAAAATATTAGGTGGTGGTACAATATATGAACCAAATTAAAAGAGAAACTGCTCTGACTAAAAAGTGAGATAGGAGATTCTGGAGCCCTGCCTGAGACTCTCAACTTCCTCTTCCTCCTTCCCTCTATAGCAGTCCCACAGGTCTTCTGTGAACCATGAAGCTTTTAAGTTCTTGGATTGGAAAGTCATGAATACTCACTATCATGTGTGCGTCATTCAGTGTTTTTCCCATCTACAGTGGACTGTCAGATACCTTTTTAGGTTTTTTTCTTTGAAGTTTGTTTTTCTTTCTTGAGGCTAGAGTCTATTAAAATACTACTGTTGAGAAGGCTTCCTTTCTCCTAAAATGTTATTTAAAGCCTGATCCTGAGTAATCAATGTAGTATTCAGGATCTCTAGGATACCCCCACTGAGATAAAATAAAATCATAAAAAATCACATAAAATCATGGCTGCTTCCTTAAACTATGAGTTTTCTTTGTAATACTTTCAAAAGGTCTAAGGAAAGAATAAGCCTGTCTTCACCTCCCCCAATACAGTAACTCAATATACTTTTGTTTTAAAAGAAGAATGAGGGCTGGGATTGTGGCTCAGCGGTGGAGTGCTCACCTAGCACGTGTGAGGCACCACATACAAATAAATAAAATAAAGGTATTATCTAACTACAACTAAAAATATATATATATTTAAAAAAATGAGTTTCTCTGCCCAAGACAAAATGGATGGGCCTTTCAGTCATGCCCATACTTTTGCCCGCACTTTAAATGTCTCTGAGACACTGATTTCATTCATTATTTACTCAGTTTACATGTGCTTACATACTCTGTACCAAGCTGTATGCTAGATGCCTACATAAAAAATAAACATAAATTTTGCCCTCAAAGACCTTACTGACAGATATGTCAAAAAAAAGCATAATGAAAAAATCAAACATATTTCAATTACAGAGTAAATATTTCTGTAATAAAAACATACATATAATCCAGTGAAAAGACACAGGAAAACAGGATTAATTGTACTCTAAGATTAAAGGATAGCCTCAGAGAAGAAACACTACTAAAATGAATCTTGAAGGATAAGCAGGATTTATTAGTTGTTCAAGGTGAAGAAAGGTATTCCAGATAAAAAGAATAAGGCATGGAGTCATGAGAGAGTACAGCATGCTCAAGAAACTAAGTATGCTGTGTAGTTGGGAAAAATAGAGATGAAGTTGGTAGAAGGAATGAGGGAAGGAAATGGGAAGGAAGGAAGGAAGAGGGGGAAGTAAAGGAAGCAACAAGATGAGAGATGGGAAGCAAACAGAACATATATATTGTTCAAAGAAATTTTAATGTTATTCTGAAACAAGAAGTAGCCATTAAAGTAGGAAAAGTAACATGGCATTTGCATATTTTAAAGTTCATTTTGATAACAATGAGTTTAAGAAGGACCGGAGACCACATTAGCAGGTAAAGAGGGGATGAGATATAAATTACAGTAATAAAAATAGAAACATCAAGAGTCAATAGACTCAACATTTAGGAGACAAAATCAATAGGATATTTAATGCCTAATTAAAATTAGCGGGGGGCTGGGGATGTGGCTCAAGCGGTAACACGCTCGCCTGGCATGCATGTGGCCCAGGTTCGATCCTCAGCACCACATACAAAGATGTTGTGTACGCCAAGAACTGAAAAATAAATATTAAAAAATTCTTTCTCTCTCTCTCTCTTTAAAAAAATTAAATTAATTAATTAATAAATAAAAATACAATAAAATTAGTGGGAATATAATATGATACATCTTTGGTTTCTGAATTGGTTGATTTGGTTCATGATCATTCCATTCACTAAGATAGAGAACACATGAGAAGCTCAAGGCTTAAGGGAATGTGAGAATGCTCCTGGGTCACAAATGGTTAACCCATCTCTTAAGACTCTAAATAATTTATTTTGTATATGTTCAGTTTGAGGTGAACCATTAAATGGAGCTGTTTGATACAAGGACCAGACAGAACTTGAAAAGTGTTAAAAACTAAAGGTTAAGAATTCATGAGGGCACAAGTGGTAGTTAAGACAATGGGGGTAGGGGCTGAGATTGTGGTTCAGTGGCAGAGCGCTTGCCTGACATGTGTGAGGCACTGGGTTTGATTCTCAGCAACACAAATAAATAAATGAATAAAATAAAAGTCTATCAACAACTAAAAAAATATTAAAAAAAAAAGACTATGAGGATAGACGATACTTCTTAGGGAAAACATGTGACATAGAGAAGGACTCACCATAGAGCCCAGAAACTACGGTGGGGAAAACATGAGGATCCAGAAAAAAGAGCCAAGAAAGAAATATCAGAGATGAAGGTACAGATTTGGCAGGACGTGAATGCATTGTTGTAAAAGCTATGGGAAGAGACCACTTCAGGAAGGACATAGGTCAACAGAGTTAAGTGCCACAGAGACTTTCACCTAGGTGACAACTTCATCTAAGTGTTGCACTTGGTAATTAGGGTGTCACAGGGGACTTTTTTGTTAGAGAATTTCATCCAAGTGGAAAGAGGTATATGCTTGATGACAATGAAGTGAGCATTAAGTGGGACAGAGAAATGAACAATTTCTTCAGAAATATATATAATATTATTTCAGACTTATTAGTAATAAAACTGCAAATAAGATACCTCTCAGATTGAGGTAGTAGTTAAATGGACTCTCACACTTCTACCAGAGAGTATAAATTGGTATAAAGCCTTTCTAGAAGGCGAGACTTTAAAAATATACAGTCTTTTAGAAATATATCCTGAGGAAATAATCACAGTTAATTTAAGTACAAAAATGTTTATTTCAGCTTCATGTATAAAAGTATAACTGTATAAAATAACATGACTAATAATAACTGGTCAAATAAATTATAGAATATCCAGATATAGGAATAGTATGACTAAAATATTGATGGAGGGATTAATTGTACATCTTAGTGATAGTTTTTTTGTTTCTGTTTCTTTTTCAGGAGTATTGGGGATTGAACCAGGGTATTCTACCACTGAACTGTGTATCCTAGCCCCTATTTGCTTTTTTTAGTTTTAAAATTTTGAGACGGGGTTTCACAAGTTGCTTAGACTGGCTTTGAACTTGCAATCCCCCTGCCTCAGCCTGCGGAGTAGCTGAGATTTACAGGCATGCACTACTGCGCCTGGCTGTTTCTATCTTAATAAAAATACTTTTTATAATACTCAAACAAAATCAAGACTATACTGAATAGTTTGTGTAGTTGATCTCTTTTATTTTTTAGAATGCTCCCAGTTTTCTAACAGACACAGATGGTTTATATCCTTTCTGGGAAGGCAGAGCAGGAGGTACATGGCTTATGTATATGAAAATAAGTTCTGGTTCCCAGTAAGGCATAAGCTGTATCCCAATATAATTATAACATCATCTTTTTCAGTCTCACAAGTGTCTTGGCTTTTATTTTATTTATTTTTTTAATTGGTTGTTCAAAACATTACAAAGCTCTTGATATATTTCATACATTAGATTCAAGTGGGTTATGAACTCCCAATTTTTACCCCAAATACAGATTGCAGAATCACATCAGTTACACATCCACAATTTTACATAATGCCCTATTAGTAACTGTTGTATTCTGCTACCTTTCCTATCCTCTACTATCCCCCCTCCCCTCCCC